AAATAAATAAATAAATAAAATAAAATAAAAAACACTAATACAAAAAGATATAGACACACTTAGATTCATTGCAGCATTATTTACAATAGCTGAGATGTGGAAACAACGTAAGGTTCTGTCGGTGGATGAATGCATAAAGATGTGGTATATACATACAATAAAACGCTGTTCAGCCAAAAAAAAAAAAAGAATGAAATTTTGATATTTTCATTATCATTTATGGACCTTGTGGCTATTTTGCTAAGTGAAATAAGTCAGAGAGAAAAAAACAAATACCATATGACAAATGAAACAAACAAAACAAAACCCAGACTCACAGATACAGAGAACAGATCTGTGGTTGTTGGAGGGAAGGGAGGTTGGGGGTGCAAAATGGGTAAAGGGGATTAGCAAGTACAAACTCCCAGTTATAAAATGAATAAGTCACGGTGATATAATGCATAGCACGGGGAATACAGTCAATAATAGTGTATTAACTTTGTAAGGTGGCACATAGTAACTAGACTTGTGATAACCATTTCACAACGTATACAAATGTCAAATCACTGTTGTATAACTGCAACCAATATCGTATGTCAATTTTACCTCAAAAAATTTAGAAAGTGCGAGTGACAGTGTTGGCCAAGACTTCCTACAATGTACACAATGAAGAACTTTCCCCACCCAAAATGCCATGCCATTTTTGAGAAACACTGCCTCACCTAGTGTACAGTCCTGGACCCTTTCTTAAAAAACAACTGGAAGTATTTCTCATATATATATGAAAATGCTTTATAGATCACCAAGCAAAAGATAATAACTAAGAATAGATCTTCAAAGTTGTCTTCACAAGAAAAAAAGAATTTGTAACTGTGTATGGTGATGGATGTTTACTAGCTTAGTAGTGATCATTTCACAGTACATACAGGCATCAAATCATTATGCTATATACCCAAAACTAATATGTTATATGTTAATTATATCTTAACTTTTTAAAAAGATAAAAAACAAATAGAAAAATACACTAGCCATTCATGTCATGACATAGAGCAGTAGTTAGAACTGATTACATATAACGGAAGCCAACTTAACAGAAAAAAAAGTTTTAGGTAGTTTTGAGAGTACGCAGGAAGGTTAGAGAACCCAGCCCAGGATGGAACCAAGAAAAGTGCCAAGATCCTGTCACAGGATAAGCTGCTTATAACACCCCTGTTTCCCTGCACAATTACACTACACTCACCCTTTCCAGGAACGAGCAGGCCATCAAATTCTGGGTCATGACCCACCAGGCATGTTACTCAGCACAATGCTAAATATAAGGATAGTATAAATGCTAAATATAAGGATAGTATTTCTTGAAAATCATGAGAATAGAGAAAAGAGAACACCAAGCTTACGTTACTTTGGCTGACCCCCTTTCCCTGTGCAATTCTTACTTCCATAAAGTACACCTCATTTTTACCTTGCTTTGTACAAATTCTTTTTCTAAAAGCTGTGACTAGAATCACTGCCATGATGAAAGTTTTTCTCTTAAGATATCTGGCTTTTTCAGGAAGCTGCAGATCAAAACACACACACACACAACTTTTGAATTGCTTCCTTTCATAGTTCCCTAGACTTTGGTCTTTGTTATACATTAAATATGGATTTACAGCTCCCCAAACAGTACAACCTGACACCAAGAATATCTAAGATGAGATCCATGTTCTACTTGCTTTGAGTAAATTCTCCTCTGTAGTATCAGAGGTCTCCTTCAAGAGAAAAGCCTTCTATACAAGGTATATATATGGTTGGGACAGTCACTCTCAGGATAACTGAGACAATTAATGGGAAATCCTTTGATTTCCTCAAAGCCAGCACCTCCAGCAGTTACCTTATATGGACTTTCTTGTACAGTGAGTCTCATATATAAAATCTGTTGTTTATCTGTGTATTTCCAGGCTGGAAAAGCAGAGAGGGCGCCTCTAAACTGGTTTCTGATTATATGGCAAAGAAGTTTAATCTACATCCACTACTTATCCATACTCTGAATCTGGATAAAATCAATGAAGCAATTGAATTAATGAAAACCGGAAAATGGCAAGTTGCTCACATAATTTTTATGTCTGAGTGTTTGGGACCAAGAAAAAGGAGTGTGGGGGCTGGGGGAGGCAGTAAACAGGAAGTAATGGCTGGAATTTAAGGTTTCAGGAATTTGTAAAACATTTCTTTCCCCTCTGTATCTTATTTTATTCCCAGTTTATAAAAGATGTAAGCCTGAAAATACTTAAGTGTTCACCTACCCTTGCCAATAGCGTTTAATTTACAATCTGGCGGGTTTCTTCTTTTTACATGGCACATTAACTGATGAGGTTTAGCTCATAAAATTTTACCAAGTTCAAGTTCATAGTTTATAAAGAAGCCACTGTTGTTTTTGTTTCATATCAAAGGGGAAATTATCTTAAGAATTCCAAATTCTGATGTCTATCTTTGGCCCACAAACCAGACACCAGTGTAAATAAATCACCAGTCATAAATTGGACACTGGCATTCCCCACAAGGGAGTAAGTCTGCTTACATATTCTTTACCCTTGGCGCTTCATGCCATTTTGAAAAATCTCACAACTGATTTAATCTGCCTATTTTTACCTGACCTGAGGAAGGGGAATCTAACTTACTTGTCTACAAAGTAAAAAAATTGAAATCCAAAACAAATGTTGTTTTAGAAACATTTCAACTTTTTTTTTTTCAGTATCCACTGTATCCTGCTACCTTAAGTACAATGTGATATATGCAAGATCTGCAGCTTATTTCACCAACTAAATTGTGTTCTGTATCATTTTCGTGGTCTAGAAGAATTATCTACACAACGCTGTTTCTATTTTCTTGCCTCCGATACACTCAGCAGTATGCTCATATCTGGATTCTACCTACCCTCACTACCCTCACCAACATTGTTCTTATGTGACCCAATGTCACCCAGTAACATCCTCCCTTTTAGAGTTAAGTTTGATCTGAATCACCCAATTTCAGACCCTTTAAACAAGTCACCCCAAGATACTCCCATTTTCATCTCTACCTCTGGGCCCGTGTTTCCTTACATATTTTCTCTCCCACCCCATGAAGCTCTGCCCATTTCACATCAAAGAAACAAAACTCACCATTCATGAGTTTATTAAACATTCAGGCTGAAGCAAGCTGATGCAAGAGGGTGGGTCTTCATTACATCAACTTAAATAAATCCCCATTGAACATTAAGTATTTCATTCTTAATATAACTCCCCTGAGAGGAACTTCTAGTGGTATTTCATCTTATATAACCCAGCCTCAAGCCATCACTTACGTCGATGGTACTTACCTCTTCTCTCCTGGATTATCAAAGCAATTTCAAGTTCTTCTTCAATTGGCCAGGACAGTTTAGCTCTCAGCAGTTCATATTACCTGGCTTTATAACTAAGCCATCTAGGGATTCAGCAGGAAAAAAATGGGGGGAAGGGGTCCTGGGGAGAGTCTTGTTATTTATCAGGATCCACACTCCCTGGGAGGCAGTTGTGGTATTAAACAACAAAACTAGCTTTTACTTCACTCTTCACAGAAAGGGGGTAATTGTGTAGTGCTTTAACTAATGTGTCCCACAGATTCTTTCCTCCAAGAAGTGGATGAGGGGAAGACAAGATCCACTAATAGTTTGTGGCATCCAATCCCTTCACCCTGGCTCCCTACCACTCTGCCTAAACCCCTTCTTAATTCTCCTAGATCCAGGATTAAGATTATCATTCCTCTTGGGATAGGACTTCCTTCCCTATCTCCTAGACATAGAGTCTCTTTCCCAATCCTCTCCCCACTATACACACAACAGGAGCTCCCTTCCTGGTTCAAGTCTCTTATGCTCCAGCCCGGGCTTCCCTAGATCTGGAGCCACTGAATCAGACAGGAGCCCCACATGTCAGTAGACCTTGAGAGACCAGGATATAAAATGTCTTTTTTTTTTTTTTTTAAACCTAAACCCACTAGCTTCATGATTTAAGATTGATCAGAAACGGGCACCTGGGTGGCTCAGTTGGTTAAGCGACTGCCTTCGGCCCAGGTCATGATCCTGGAGTCCCGGGATCGAGTCCCACATCAGGCTCCCTGCTCAGCAGGGAGTCTGCTTCTCCCTCTGACCCTCTTCCCTCTCATGCTCTCTATCTCTCATTCTCTCTCTCTCAAATAAATAAAATCTTAAAAAAAAAAAAAAAGATTGGTCAGGAAGGTGGGCTACATCCTCAGTCTCTCTCTCCAACAGGATATCATGGCTATCACGTAATGTCAAGGGGCTCTTGTGAGATTCTGCTTCCCAAACAGAGCAAGCATCCTGAGGTAGACATCTTGTCTTTCCTTCAGGGTGCCTGCTCCCTGCAGATAGAGGGGATAGGTGCTATCAAACTTATTCACTCTGGGCCTTGGGATGACTCTTCACTATCTTCCCAAGTCTGAATTGGAATTTCCCCACTTTCCTATTAGTGTCCCATCCATCTTGTTAATCAAACTGCTGCAAATCTAATTTTTGTCTCAAGCTCTGCTCCTATCCCAAACTAAGATATTTGGTACCAGAAGTAGTCCTAAGAAGGCAATCCTAAGGATGGGATTCTGAAAGTGGATCACTTGACAACAAGATGGCAGAAGAACAGCACTGTGGTCTGTGGTTAAGATGGACGTCCAGGATCCCTGCCTCCTGGTATTCATGCCCCTGTGTAATCCTCTCTCCTTAAATGTGGGCTAGACTTGACTCAATTTCAAAAGCAGAAATGATGAGATGTCACTCTGCAATGAGTTCTAAAAAGACCATGGTTTCCATTCTTGGATCTTCTCTCTTGGACTGCCTGTTCTGGGAGAGGCCAGCTGTCACAGCACGAAGCAGCCCTGTGGAGAAGACCCAAGTTAGTTTGGCTGCTGAGGTCTGTCAACAGCCATGTGAATAAAACTAAACAAGGATTCCTCCTGAGTCCAGCTTTGAGATGACTACAGCCCTGGCCAACACCTCCATTACAGCTTTGTGGGAGATCCTGAACCAAAACACCCAGCTAAGCTGCTCCCAGATTCCTGAATAGTAAAAACTTAGAGAGCATAAATGTCTGTGTATTAAGCTGCTAAACAATAGATAACTAACACATTGGTGTAAGTGGGTAATAATCCCCCTTGGCATGCTCTCGTAATACAATGACTAAGAGTCTTCTGTGGTGAATTGGGAGGGGATACAGATTGCAGGATATGTACTGGCTTGTGCAATATCATTAGCACTTGAGAGATAAAATGGCAATGGATAATTACAAGAACTGTGGGTTTAGCTGGTTTTTGTTAAGTATCATCAATATGTTGAAGGAAAAACAAAACAACAAGTTTGAGTCAACCAACCACCAAAGAAGAGCACGACTGAAAACCACAAAACTTGTATAACAGCATTTAAATTTTCCCTTATCTCCTCCGATTACTCTGGCTGTAACCGCTGGCTGTTAAAGAAGTGGCCCCCTCCCCAGTGCCACGGGAGAGCGGGTTCTCCCTGCCTGGACACCACAGGAGCCTTACTAAGGTAAATGCCTCGTAAGAGGATACCTACCTTCCCTCACCTCATGACTTCTCTGCCAATAAATAAGTTCAAGTCTCACCCTGACTAGGAAAATAATTCACCAAAATAATCACAGTATGTGGCTCACATGTATCAGCAAGAACTGGAAAAACATGTTGAAAATCAATCATGAGCATGCTGGACCAAGGGAACAGAATATAAGGGAGAGGTCGTTGATATGGGTACAATCTGTAACTCAGGATTGAATCCCTGAGAAGAACACCTGCAGTCAGTTCTGGGCTACTGGGATGGTTCCTCAAAGCTTCGGGGGGGGGGAAATAATGGCCTACAACAAATGAGGTACAGATGCCGGAATTGCTTTGGCAAAGTACCAAAAGTCAAGAGGCTCAGAGAAGGTGGCATGTTACAATGGATCTGACATAAAAATCTGAAAATCCACCAGATGACCATGTTCCTCAGTAGAATCCAGGGGGGTCACCCCTTTCACTAAAGCAGTAAGAAATGCACCAGTGGTTCAGAAAGAACCCACCATACAGTAAATATATACACTATCAAATCCCCTAATCCTCCCCCATGCAGACAAACTAGCATAATTAGACACAGGGAGAGAAGAAATGCCCAGATCTTTCAAGAACTGTCAGATACAGAGTCTGAGCTGACACTAGTACTAGGATAACCAAAATGCTAGTGTGTTCCCTTGTTAAAGTTTTGTGAAAGATGAGGCATTCCAGTTTATTGAAGAATTTACTGGGGGAAGAAGGGAATCAATAATTTAAAGGACTTCAAGACATCTTGTTTGAGAGCTTTTTCTCTGACCCCACATACTGCAGGTTGCTTTTCCAAATCTGAAAAATAAAAACATGAATTCAGGAATCTAGCCCCTTGGTTAAAGTTGTAAACTTGGCTAGAAAAACTAAAGTGTCCTTAACTTGTAGAACTTCATACGAGAAAATGTGCTTGGTTGCCTCCATGTACAAAGAAATAAATACTTCCCTTTCTCTGATTATTTTATGATTAACAAGTAATAATTTATACCAGGCTTGCAGAACGCATGAAAACTTGCATCGCAGCTCGGCCTGTCTTTGGAAGAACTACTACTTCATCCAGTGTCTGTACCACAACTTGCATTCCACCTCTATCATAATACTTGTCACCAAGACCAAAGTTACATACTGATTAATGTAATGGTCTGTGTTTTATCTATTTGGCCCATAACAAATTACTTCAGAACTTATGTCCCAAACAACCACATTTATTACCTGACAGTTTCTGGGGGTGGGCTTTTTGAGGAAAGCTTAGCTAAATGGAGCCAGTTCCTAGTCTATCATAAGGTTGCAGTGAAGATGGGAACTGGGACTGCTGTCATCAAAAGCTTGCCTGATGAGCCATCAAAAGGAATGAAATCTTGCCATTTGCAATGACGTGGATGGAACTGGAGGGTATTATGCTGAGCGAAATAAGTCAATCTGAGAAAGACATGTATCATATGACCTCACTGATATGAGGAATTCTTAATCTCAGGAAACAAACTGAGGGTTGCTGGAGTGGTGGGGGGTGGGAGGGATGGGGTGGCTGGGTGATAGACGTTGGGGAGGGTATGTGCTATGGTGAGCGCTGTGAATTGTGTAAGACTGTTG